TAAAATAATATATCTGTGTTAGTAGAGTGAATACTCATTAAAATAATCATTTAACCTTTTTTTTTTTTAATTTCACCCAATTCCATTAAATAAATACAAGTTAAGTTTAAAAAAAAAAACATAATCAGTAAATTTCATTCATATAAGTATATTAAAATTATTTGTCACAGGTTATTTCTATTTTCGCACTATGTAATATTAAGACAAAGAATCAGATCACCTTTTGGCGCTTAGATAAATTTGATGATGATCCATCGTCTTCATCGCACTCTAAGGGACGTTTCCCTTTACGATCAACATCCTACCACAACAAGGATGAGTGAAATGATGAACAATAAACAATCACATCAACTTAATTACCCAAAAATTAAATAATAGAAAATCGGATTTTTGTAAAAAATATTTGTTCATAATAATACTCTAGTTACTAAAAAATATCCAAATTACAAAGAATTGCACAAAACCTCTTCGATTCCATTTCCGTCGCCGATGTTCTTTGGTTGTTGTTTATTTGGTGCCTAAATTCATTTTAAGGACACCAAAAATAAGTTAAGAATATATGGCACCACCATATCTACACATGATGAACAAAATTAAGGAAAGACATTAACAGTAACATAAACTTACACCCTCAGCGATGGAGACGTCATCTACATCTAAAAGTTCTGTGATTTTAACCATGTTGAAGGAAGTAAATGTTTGAGTTTTTGCGGGAGCAGATTAGAGTTTGTTAGTTTATTTTTGTTTTTATTTTTTTGGTAAATGGAATTCTTAAATAGAAAGTGACAGTTTATAACTTCCTTTGTCAAGATGTATGGGTGAAATGAGTGGGTAGTTTTCTAAGTTTGTGATGAAATAACTTCTAAAGTAGGAGTAGTGGGTTATTTTTTTTTCGATTGATTAACATTTTGTAAATTATGTAAGAATTTTTAAAAATAATTGTCCTTTTTTTAAAAAAAACCACAAAGTTTATGTCTTGAAAATCTTATGACAATTTGTATGTAACATTAAAATTATGGATTAAAAAAAAAGTGGAATTATAAACTTTTTTAATACAAATGAATCTAGAGATGAAGACAAATGTGTTGTGAATTGGGTAGTCAATCATGGATGGACGAGATTGATAACAAAATTGAAAATCATTTATCTCATTATCATGTGATGAGTTGAGTCAATTATGATTGAATCCGACGATTATAAAATCTCAATAGCGTTTGAGTGTATTAGGTTTTAAGCCGTGTAAATAATACCTTTAATTAGACAACATTATATTAGTATACAATCTTCCTACCATATGAGTATGACATGATTTAAGCCTTGTCGATTGAACGAAAGATTAAAAATTGCGAGTATACAATCTCAATGCCATATGAGCGTGTATTGAATTAAGCCGTGTCGATTCTACGATTAATTTGTAGTTTGCGATTATACATTTTCAATACCACATAAGCGTGTCAAGGTTTTAACCGTCTCGGGAATTCAGATGCTTACAAAATGCGATTTATTACAAAATTAGGCGTATAGAGTCTCAACACCGTATGCGTGTATCTTGATTCAAGCTTTGTCAATAATTGTAACAATACATGGTTGACGGGTATACAATGATGATGTGTTATACCACGACAGTGTAATTGAATGCGATTACGGTCATGTTACCCGTTTGGTAGAATATATACCCTAATAAAATTATAAATAATTAGGCAAGTCAATTCCATGTGTTATTTGTGTCAACCGGGATCTTCAGATTACAGTAGCATATGTAGATGAAATGTTAAGTCTATCATAAACCCAAAACCAAGCCCTAAACACTGCACCCTTACCCTTAAACAATTAGGGTTGGAGATAAGACGAGCTTAGATGAGTACTACCTTTACAACCTTACACAATTAGGGTTGTAGTTAAGCCGAGCCTATATGAGTACTACCCAATAATTAAATTAGTACTACCTTGTCCATGTTCAAGTTTAGTCAACTTATTAGGTGAGTCCGAACACGATCCCGGGCTTTGAAGAAAGCCTAAGCATCTTATCAAGGTCACCTATTTTAATTTCATATATGTTTGCGAGTCGTTTATGAACGACTCGATTATTAATTGAGCGTTTCATGAACAAGCTTAGTGTATATATGTGTCATGAACATAGATATACCAGTTGTTCATGAAATAATCTGAAGGATTAGGTGTAGAAGCTAAGAGACGCACATGATGTGTGCCTGTACAATATAAGTATTATCTCAAGCTACCGAATTCTTGTATTATTCAACAACTTAATCGTATTTTATATTAAAAAAATACAATTAGTGGGTTACTATTTTTATTTTTATTTTTTTTAAAAAATAATATTAGGATGGTAGTTTTCCTTAAATCAAGGATGGCGGTTATTTTTATTTTTATTTTATTTTGTGAGGGAAAGGATGGCAGTTTTTTTTAATTGAATAAAAAGAAGGTAATTTTTATTTAAAATATTGAAATTGTGAATAAAAAGAGTGGTTTATTACATTAACAAACATGAACAAACTTAAACCGATATTGAACTAGAGTTGTTTATTTGTCTGGTCGGTTCATATACACCGCCGTCCATAAACGTTATATCTTCAAAGTTTTTAACAAATAATTTTGTATTAATTTTATTGTTACTAATACAAATGTTAATTTACTTCTATCATTAATGTAAATTAAAAATTTACGAGTCTTAAAAAAATGGTGTCAATTAATTATTACAAATACGTAATAAAATGAATGTATCATAACATGTAAATAGTAATCAGGAACTTCTATGCTTAAGTTAAAAATTAAAAAATTTAAAAAAATGCAACAATTGGACCTCAGCAATCACAAACCGACAACCCTATACACCTAGTGCCTATACTTTTGATTTGACAAGTCAGAGTTTTTCATGAAAAATATTTTGTGGTTTGCCTTTTTTTTTAAAAAAAAATTATGCTTACACGTTGTTTTAGGCTCTTACAATTAATACCTTAAGATTCTCTAGATTTTCTGGTGTCATTAGCTTATTTCTATAATATTTAATTATTTAATCATTTATTTTTAGTCAATTGTATTTTATTTTTATTTTTTTTTAAATCGAAGTGTTATTATGTTTGTACTTACTTATCACTTTATTGTAAAAAAACAACTTTTAATATTCATAAAAGCAAGCGTAATTTTTTTTTTCTAAATAATAGTTTTGTAATAGTTTTCTTTCATCGAAAAAGAAACATTAATTAATACAACACGTTCTCAATAAAAAAAACTAACCAATTAAAATATAAAGTAAATATTGTTTCCTAATTAAATTAAATAATGTATAATAATGCCTTATGAGAATAATTGATGGATTATTTTTAATGATTTAATATTAATTAACTGTCTTTTAAAAAAATTGCATATTAATTACCATGTAAAGCGGTTAGATACAATTCAAGAAGATAAATATTCTGCCCGCCTTCGTTTCATTTTCTCCATTTTCACTTAGAATTCAAACGTTTCTTCACATTTGCTCCTCAGTTATCCTATGTAATCACTTCAAACTATTAGTTTAATTCTAAAACTTCAAAGTAACTGACTTCATCAACGACTCAACACACCATGGATGCGTCTGGAGAATCGTAAGTGTCTTAATCGTTTTGTAGACATAATTTCATGCATTTAAATTATTCCCCGATTGTAGTAGAACTTTGATTCTGAAAATTGCAAGCTTAGTGTTGAACTCAAATTATGATTCAATTTGCAAATTAATAGGGTTTTCTAAGAGTGTAGTTAATTGTACACTGGTTTATTGATTAGAGATTTACATAACTCAATTTGTTTAATTGGCGTTGCTATTGCATGTTGTTCCGACTGCTGTTGTTCGTGGGGGAAAAAAATTAGAATTATTAATTACATATACTGCTTTAAAACCCTAATAGGATCGTCCACTGTGAATGCTTCACGCTTCGCTATTAAATTGGTATTTTGTGTTAATTTATAATGAAAATTTATAAAAAAAACCTAGTCTTTTAGTAGATTTAATAACAAATGTTTCCATGTTACTTTCATGTGGGTCTGAAGCAATCCAAAGGACATTCTAAACAACGATCCTGCGTTGAATAATTGGGTAGATGTCACTACTACGACATCAGTAATTGCGTCTGAGTCTGAGGTAACAATTTATAATTTGCTTGATATCTTAATGTTCTTAGAAGCGATGTTTTAATTGGAATAATTTGAGTAAATTGTCTACTTGACAGCATCAGATTGAAGCACCAAATGTTCCTGGTCCTGAACACAGCAAAGTTACAGAAGATGCACATAGCGCTGACCCTAATCCTGAAAGTGAAGTAAGTCCTGTGTTCCACCAAAGTACTTCGTATTTATATTTACAATTTACTGCAATGTTTTGCAAGATTGATTATTTCCTTTTGGATAAGAAGCAATGGTAATTGTTAATAGACACTAAGAAACCAAAAATGATACATTTTATGTAATACTCTAACAACAATAATAAGTGTTATCGCCCATTCTGAAGACCTAGTGAAGTGTATATTTATATTTTTTCACATTTTGTGCAGACAAATGTTTCAGGGGAGGCAGGGTCACAGAAGGGTACTATCACGGATCATAGTATTGAGATCCAAGACAAGGCAACAACGGGTTTGTTACTCAACCAATTACCGGCAGGATTAGAGAGATCATCGAAGGAAATGCATCTTCAGTAAGTTCACCATTACTCTATTCATACAAAAATGATGCATATTTAAATTATTATGTTGTGTAAAATTTGGGATATTTTGTTATTATGTGTAAAAAAAGCCTCCAGAAGGGAATGGTGGAGAGGGTGAGACTAATGCCACCGATGAGGGTGAAGATGCAGTTTTGGGAAAGGAATCAAGGGCAGCTACAGTAAGTTAACCCTAACTCTCTTAGTACAAAAATGATTCAAGCAATTTAACTTATTGTATTGTATAAGATTGGGAATGAATCTGACAATTCTGTTTTATGTAAATAGGCTTCACTATTAGGGGATGTAGGATAGGAAGCTGGAGCACAAGGTGGGGATAAGTCTCATGTTCAAAGTGGACAGGGAGTTGGGGATGAGAACCCACAGCTTGGTGGAAATGAGTTCGGGGATAAGAACATACAAGAAGAGGTAAGTTGTTACCTAATTTCTCTTTGATTATTTGATAATAGATCCAATTATCAAAATTTACATCTTGTAAGATTTAATATAAATGAATGATTTGCTTTGTCACTTACTAGGAACCCCCAGCAGAAGAAAGCAGCAGAAGAAAAAGAAAGCAGCGTCCCGGAAAAGAAAAGCAGTTGAAAATGTCGTTCCAATTGTCATTACGGAAGGTGAAGAAGAAGAAACTGAACCAACAAATAAGAAAAAGCATGGAAGGTCATGCCTCCCCGATCACAAAAAAAACAATCCTGTACATGTTATATCTTAAATTAAATATAAATTTGACAATGTTGGTGGTATAAATTACTATACCTGATTACAATGTACTCGTTAAAATGACAATATATTATATGATGCAGTGTCCTGTTATGAGGATTTATCCAGACAGAGTTGTCGACGCGGTACCAAAAGGCACTACTCAAAAAGAATGGATTAGGGAGGTTGGATTTTCCACATTTCTAGATGTGAAGTTTAATGAACTTGACCGGTTTTTTCTGTTGTGGTTAATGGGTCGGTGGGATCCTGAAACCCAGTTACTACGCATTAGGGATGACTATGAGATCAAGATCACTGATGAAGTGGTGGGGTGGATATATGGGCTGCCATTCAGTGATTATACATTCACTATTGAAGAAAGTGTTACAGGTAATAGGATAAGATTTTATAGCTTTGGAAACAAATTATGATAATGAATAAACTTTATATAACCTCCCATTGTATAGATCGTATAATGAGAAATTTGAACAGATATGTCCTTATGGTGTGTACAAAATGCAGAGGACAAAGAGTACAAGAAGCTGAAGAATTCCTATTCCAACAGAGAGGGTATAGTTTATGGCATTGTTCATGCTGATATGACAGAGAATCTGAACAACAAGGAGAGGTTCTTGCAGTCCTATGTTTTGTATGTATTTGTCAACCTAATATGTACAACTCTGAACAATTGGATTAGTCAACTTTTATGCTGGATTTTGAAGTCGCGGTACCTGGAAGATGCACGGAATTGGAATTTTTCAAAGTTTGTGCTTGACTGGATGATCAAGCAGCATAGAGAACTGGATGCAGAGAAGGTGGGATCCCCCATCGTGCTAATGGTAAGTCATCTTTTACTTTACTAGCCTAGTCATATTTAATTGTCATATAATAATATTGTCCTGTACAGATTGCATACCTTGACAGATTGAAATTAGGCGATAAAGGAAATCGGTGGCATACCGATAGACCAAGGCTTGGAATGTGGCAGCAAGGTGATATTGAACGCGCGATTCGTGCAGACACTGCTGCTGATGGGTCGTATGGTGCAGCAGAGGTAATTATTGTTTTTTTGTATACAAATACAAGTTGAACGTTTCCTACATGAGGTTAGGGACATGCTTTTGATCTGTTGAATTTTGTTTAGGTTGTTAGGGATGTTGTGTATCGGAAAGAATACCCTATTGGTCCGCGGAAGGATCTTCCTGTGTGGATGACGAGTCCGCCTCCTGTGAATCCTAAAGTTACCATCGTGGAAAGGAAAAGAAAGAGACGGAAATGCAGAACACAGGTCAGGGACTTGAAAGAATACAAAGACATTCAACACTATAGTTCTTCCGGAGAAGAAGAGGTAGTTTGAAACCGAGTGTGACTAAGTTCATAGACTGTTACTTACCATATTACTGATTAGTCGAACTTTTCTTAAAGACAAGCAAAGGACATGAGGAAGAGGCCAATGCGGGACGAACTCAGAGGAGTAACAGAAAAAGACAAAGAATCAGGTAAAAGTTGTGGTCTTAACTTTGGTTGATTTGTTTGCTAATTATTGCTGACTGAGTCCTATTGGTTGTAAATATCTTTCAGGAACTTTGTGTAGTTCCACCTGCTTTAACCCCTGCACGGGTTACAAGATCAAGAAGCAGGTTGATACAAAGGCAAACACATGTTGAAGGGGATAAAAATGTAAATTACTTGCATATAAAGTTTATGACATTGTGTTTGAAAAAGTTAAGCATTTCTTGCCTATAAGTATATAATTATTAGCATCATTTTACATATTACAGTAGCTTATTATTCATAAAGGCATCATTTTTGTTTCACATGTACAAATGAAAACAAGGGAAACAATCACCACTAGGAAAGGTGGCAGAACAAAAACAAAGGATGTTATCTCAAAAAAGAAAAGGACAAAAGGTAAGAAGGAATCAAGTGAGGATGATTTAAGCACTGAGAGCATCAGTGAGGATGACGAAGCTGATGACGATGATGAGGAGAAGGATAGGAATACGGAGGACGATGAGGATGATGAAGAAACTGCCAGTGATGATGGGAGTGAAGGAGAACCAGGAAATAATGGTGAAGATGATGATGAGCCTAATATAGAGGCCACAAACCCCAAATCTGGGAAAGGAGATGTGGGTGGGCCTGATAATGAAAAGAATGGTAACGGGGGAAATGATGGTGAGGAAGATAAAACGGTGGAAGATGATGGTGGAGAAGGGGGGGGTGATGATGACCGAAATGAAAAGAATGCATAACCAAATGTGGACTGCGACAACGATTACCTGAGCGACCTTGATGACAATGAGGGATTGCCCCAGATTTTTTATCACCAGCGACGCAGCATCACGGCGATCTGTGACAGAAAGTCAAACTATACTAGGTCAGTAACAACTTTTGCCATAATGCTTATATGTGTACCTTCATGTGTTGGAGTAGATTATGATAAGTGTTTTAATCAAACAGGTTTAAGGATCAGATTTTGTTCAAGTGGTATGATGTAACAGTCAACCGTCAATTGAAACACAAAGCATGTAAGAAGAAGTCTCCCATTCCAATAGAGGTAATGATTAAATTATAAAACGATAACCTCTCTTTCAAACAGTATGTGTGGGGAACATTTAAAGTAAAAGACATAATTAATATTGTGTTATACAAAAAAATAGGTTATGGACGATTTTGCAGTTTACACAAACAACGAAGACTCCGGTACTGCAGATTTTGGATTCTACGTCTTTAGGCCATCATTTTTGGTACGCGATTTGAGCTGTATATTACCAAATTCAAATATTAAGCTACTGTTTTATAGTTGGCTTAGTTAACTTTTATATCATTGACTTATGTTTCCAGTGCAACCTACTGGAAGAGGATGCAAAACCTAAGCCTGTTGTTGAACAACTCTTGATCGATGAATCGGAAATGATCGACAACTATTTCTTGACTGGAGGGAGAAAATTCAAGGATAATCGGAAGGTGTGTCTTCACTCCTAACTCTATGTTAACATTAGAACAGACAAACTGTGTTATTCATTGATCTTTCCATACCCAAATTCTATAGATTGGTTGTGTATGCTAATTGAATCAGAACTTGTGGATTTGTGTTACATATGGGACATAGGTGATTATGCCCATATTTGTCGATGGAGGATGGTGTGTTTACATTCTCAATGTGGAACGCAAAAAAGTATTTATAATTGATTTCCAAAACACGACTGAAGAGGATGAGGATGAAGAAGATAAAAGGCATGAGGATAGGATATTGGTATTGGTTAGAAGGCTAATTATGTGGTGAACCAGTTTCTTGTAAATGTTTTTGGATAATCTCCTGAGACCCAATATTGATTGCTAAGTTGTTTTTTTTTTTTTTTATTAATTCTTTAAAAAAAAATGAATAGGGAAAATACTTTAAGCAGATTCTTGGACTGACAGTCGATGCACTCTTGGAAGGTCCGTCACCAGACGTTGAAACGTATAGGTTTGTCAAGTGTGAGGACGTACCAACAACAAAATCAGTCCATGAGACGGGCATGCTTTGTATCCTCTTCCTCTATAGTCAAACCCAGTCTGTTTTCTCATGGCTTCGTGTGAGTATTTTTTCAGTAAAATGTTTAGGTTTCTTATTTTTACCAACAAAATATTGACATCGAAATGGTCCTCTTATTTGCAGATGTATGAAAAGAATGATCTCCTGTTTCGAAAATTCATGATGTGGAGGATGTTAATGAGGACGTGCAATGAAGTCAAGAACAACCTAGATGGTCTACTTTTGTAGATTTGGGGACATTTGAAGTATGAACAATTTATTTTCTATGTTTCAAGTCAAATCGAACTAGGTAATTTCTTTAAGCAGAAACTTTTAACTTTTTATTCTTTGTCATTTTTTTAAACAAGGGAGTAGTCTAAACTATTAACATTTCCTCCTCTGTCCTTTATTAAACAGCATCACTATGAATTTCCACAAATCATAGTATTATATTTGGAGTCATATTATTATTTGTAGAATCATATCAAAAATCAGCATAATGTCTATAATCGCATTTTATTGCATTTAGAATGAGTTGTTAACATTCTTTAAATTACCACTTGGTTGCATAAGCAATACACAATGAAATGCAGAAAAGTACAATTACACACATCCACCTATCAACAGTTGTTTTATCCATCATCCTGATTTGCAAGTCCATGTTTGCCTTTTCAATATTGACCAATTTGAGAACCAATGACTCGGAATAACTCTTCATCTCTAATATTTTCTCCCATAACATGTTATTTTCTACCTTGTACTTGTCTACCTCGCACTTCAACAACATGCATTGTTCTTTTAGTTGTGTCAATGCAGTCCTTAAATTATTAGATTCAACCTCGTTTGCTTCATCTTCCCAACAAAAATAACCACAGTCATCATCCTATGCATGAAAATCAATTCAATTTTATGCGTATACAAAATAACAGAATTATTTATGAAAAAAATAAATTGGGGACATAACCTAACCTTCCAATATGAACAGCGGTAAAATTTCCGTCCGGCGTTAGATGTTTTTTTGCACACTAGTTTCTTGGCTGGTAGATTGTGCTTGCATGAATGTAAGCCGAAGTCATCGAGGTCGTAAGAAGAAGTGAATGATTCATTATTGGAGGAATTTTCTTCAACTACATTCATCTTAACATTCAATTTTTATATTTATATGATTGAAGCTTTGTCTCAAAGCCCTAATTATGTGAATGTCATTCAATTGTAGCAAAAGAGTAATTTATAAACAAGGCTGTTGACCGTTGATGATTCAAATATAACAAGTGACCGTTGGAAAAAAATAATATTTTATTCCCATGATACATCAAATCAGATTCATGTTTAAAGTATCATTTTATCATTTACAGTTTCTTATACCGTTTACAGTATACATACAACTAATACAATACATTAGTGTACACAGTTTTGATATAACGTATACAACAACATAGACTACAACTTTGAAGGTACACTATTGTGAGAACAACATATACCTACACATAACTAATGAAATTTGTCGTAATCAACATTGCATAATGTAATTCCCATATTTCATTGGGTATGGCTTTCCATAAACAACACCTTCAACGCCCTGTGAAACCAATGGTGTATGGTTAATAATTTGTTAGCTGTAAAAACGAAACTAATTAACAACTTTATTTGGTAATATAACTAAGTTGCAATAATCTTGTAAATACCTTTGATTTTCCATAACGACCTTGGTGAATGTTGTCAGATTTTATTGCCTTATCAACACTGTCTTGTGTCCATTCACAAATCCTGCATCCATTAGCTTTCCAGTCTACGATACTTGCATGCCTTATCTGGTCTAGGTAAATAATCTGCATCAAATAACAATAGGAAATCATCGGTTGTTTCTTGATTGAAGCATTAATTGAACAACATATCTTTCTTTATTAAGGAAACTTACCACGAGTAAAAGTGCTCCGCAACCTAGCACCTCCCAATTATCACTATACTTGGTAAGCCACTCCAACATGTACTTACCCTAATTATATTCATACGCATTACTAGCATTATTCAGATAATATACATGGGAAGAACTTATCCAAGTTTTATTATTCATTGGACAAAGCAAGACGCCTAGTGTGTACAGCAGAAAGTGTTGCTTGAACATTGACTTGTTATGTTTCTCAGAACGTAGTTTCTGATACACCTTAGAACGTTTTACGGCACCGCGCAGCGAATTCTCCTTGTAAATTTTTTTCAATAGTTTGAATTCTTCGTAGTAAGCCTTCTCTGGATAAAACAAGATGTCCCCACCAGGGACTCCTAAAACCCATCCCACCATTTCACTATCCACAAGAATTGTCAAGTCCTCCCTTATTTTAAGTGAATGGGTTACAGGATCAAACCTTGAAACAATCCCTCTAATAAAGGATTGATCAATCTTTGTAATGGACAGATTAAGCAAGTTGCCAAAACCCATTTCCACGACCCAGCTTCTTTGATCCTCATTCAACTTCCCAATTAGTTTAACAAAAGAACTAAGGTTCTTGTGGACACCAACAGGCTGTCACAATAAGCATGTTAATTATATCAACGAACTAAAACTGCTAGGTGAAATCAAAACATAATTTGTATTCGGCCTAATTAGAAAATAACACCTGCAAAAAGACCCGATTTTGTTTATAACACCTTAACATTTCGAAATTTTATTATAACACCTACAAAAATCCCAAAATTTTGGTTTCACCACCCACTAACGGATTTTTGGATGGAAACCGTTAGTGGGACCCACTAGGGACACGTGTCAGTTGTTTATTGGCTTAAAAATAAAAATTAATGAAAATTAAAAAAAAAAAAAGAAAATTAATTTTTATTTTTAAGCCAATAAACAACTGACACGTGTCCCTAGTGGGTCCCACTAACGGTTTCCATCCAAAAATCCGTTAGTGGGTGGTGAAACCAAAATTTTGGGATTTTTGTAGGTGTTATAATAAAATTTCGAAATGTTAAGGTGTTATAAACAAAATCGGGTCTTTTTGCAGGTGTTATTTTCTAATTTAGCCTTTGTATTCTCAGATGTCTATGATAAAAAAATTATATATTGTTGGAATCAGATCAATAATAACAATATGATATTAAATTACACAGCAACAACAATAATCTGTTATAAAACCACCTTCTACATACATCAACATAAAACTAAACTTTAAAAATTACAGTCAAAGTAATTACAAAAAATGTGTACCTTTGGTAATGTTGCGGCATCAATTTCTGATTGTTCTAGTATTTGATTAACTACCACATGTTTTAGCCTTTTACAACAGGCCACATGCTTCTTCCTTCTACGAACCTCCACCTTCAAAGGTTGTTTATGTATGATATATACATTAATCGTTCGACTGGTGAATGCCACCTCTTTTAATTTGTTAAAACCGTTTCCATCCACCAGATCCAGCAATTCGTCATTCATACATTTCGGAGGACCATATTTTATGCCATAAACATCATAACCAAACCCATCAATTAACGCCTTCAATCTCTCGGCCGCGAACTCATTTTCGATAAATTCAACGGTGAAGGATTCACCATGTTGGTAACAAAGTTCATGATAAAAAATAAGCTTGCCACCATGGAAGACGTTAAAAACTGCACTAGTAACTTCACCCATCTAAACTTGACGGCGTATTTGTTTCAATTCAATTCAAAAATTGGAGACTTAATTGAATATATAGTACTAAATAACCTAACAACCATTTTAATTGACAGTATAAACAACTCAAAAAATGAAATAATTAAGTGGAACACAGTGATGCAATGCATCCATGAAATTTGTTAGGGGAAGAACAAAAATATATTGTACAATATGAAATTCTCCATGAAATTTTCAATAATATAAACCAGTTGTTTGGGCCATCCAAGAAATACATGGTTTGAGCCCATTTATATTGATTTCGTAAAAAAAAAAATTAACAGCTGTCCAAGCACCAGGAATCGAACCCTGGACGCGGAGTAAGTCAACAACATACATAACCATTTAAGCTACGGGTATCAGCACGCTAATTGCACGTTCAAAATATGTTTTGATGGCTATGAACACTACAATGTTATAAATATTTAAAAAATTTCCTTGGGATGTAGGGATCGAACCTAGCACTACGAAAATGGAGAACGCTATCACTATCAATTTGGTAAAGGGTATCAGCACAAACATTTTCATAACACAAATCTATTTAACAACAAATAAAGTGTGGGTCGACTTTTCACATACCATAATAACAAAAATTATATTATAAACTAAATTATAACACTGAGTTATTTTCCGCTGTGACGGTGCCTGTAAATATACAAGGTACTCAACCAAATCAGAATTCATGGTTATAATGAACTCAAAATCAATAATCACCTTGATATCCCATCGCAGGCAACAGGATAATTACAAAACATGCACAAATCGACGACGAAGAACATGCGACTATGGTTGTAAGTATTCAAGCCAACATCACAAACTTTTCCGGCGACTACTACGGTGGGGATTGGTTTGATGAAAAAAAAAAACAATTAATTGGTTGGTAGGAAGTTCAAGTTTAGTTTGAAATTTGAATTAAAAACCTTACAAAATTTACATAAAATTTCATTTCAATTTGAATTGAAAAAATTTGGGCCCACAAAAAAAAGATGTCATTTCACCCAATGAAAATGGAGTGTGCAAGATCCATTTACACACTGAGTGTGAATATACGGGCTCCCCCTTAAAACAAAGTCTTTTTTGGTTTTTGCGCGGAAATTAAAAAAAGTTATAAATTTTATAAAATTAATAATTAAAAGTATATATGTGCATGTGAGGTTAGAGCACTCACATTAGTGAATAAAAAAAAATGTTCATTCTTTCTCTTGCCACTTTCTCTCTCTTCCCAACCAACTTTTCTCATGAGCATTTTTTGTGAGGAAATTTTATCCCACTAGTGATTAGTTGATTACTCCCTTCGTCACTTTTGTACATTCCTGTTTATAAAATTATACAGGAATTAAGAAACTAAGAATAAAACAAATACAGAGTAACAATGAAACAAAACACAATGGGAAGTACAAAACATTAAATGATGTCTTTGAGTAAAACAAAGATATATCAATATTTAATGATGCCGTGTCATCAATCCTTTGCCAAAAAAAAAAAAAAAAATAAAAATAACATGCTCCTATTGGAATATTAAGAATCAATCATATTCATCTAAATTTAGGAGTGAGAATAGAAAAGTAAGAGTGAGAATATAAGAGTTAACATTAATTACATAACAGAAAAAGAGGGATAATTTGGGATATTTGGAAAAAAAATACTCCGTAATTGCTAAAAAAAGAAAGGAGGTATGTAATTTTGGAATACCCAAAAAGGAAAACATGTAAAAAAGGTATGGAGGGAGTAAAAAAAAATATTCATCATTCTCTCTCCTGCTTTTTCACATACCCCACTAACATTTCTCTCTCTTACACATCAACATATTATTATT